ACTTTCCTGCTTGCTCCCCGTAGCCTTTCAAACCATGACTCATTTAAAAATCTGTCTATCTCCTCAAATTTACTTAATGATTCAGCATCCACCATTCCCAGTGGTAGTGGATTCCACATATGTGACTGCACTGGACAGGGTGCAGAAGAGATTCACCAGGATACTGCTTGGGATGGAAAATTTCAGTTATGAAGAAAAGTTGGATAGGTAGGTCTGGGCTGTTTTCATTGGACCAGAGAAGACTGAGGAGCAATCTGAATGAGGTGTATGAGATTAGGGGCATCGACAGAGTGGATAAGGAGCAGCTGTTTCCCCTCGTTGAAGGATCAGTCACAAGGGGACATGGGTTCAAGGTGAGGGGCAAGAGGTTTAGAGTGGAGGTGAGGAAAATCCTTTTTATCTAGAGGGTGGTGACAGCCTGGAATGCACTGCCTGAGGTAGTGGTAGAGGTGATTTGCCTTTAAAAAATACCTGGATGAGCACTTGGTACATCATTACATTCAAGGTCAAGTGCTGGTAAATGGGATTAGGTTGAAGGTTGGGTGTTTCTCATGTGTCAGTGCAGACTCGATGGGCGGAGGGGCTTCTTCTGCACTGTATAATTCAAATAAATTACCCCAACCCAATGTGACCTTACCTTACATATTAACCTTTTTAATGGCATCTAATCAAATGTATTCTGGAACTCTATCTACTGGATCCCCATTATCCACCTTGCTTGTTACATCTTTGAAGAACTCAAAAACTAGTCAAATACGATTTAACCTTCATAAAATCATACTGATTCCATTTGATTACATTTTAAATTTCCAAGTGCCCTTCCTTAATAATGGATTCTAACCATCTTTCAGTGACACATGCTAAACTAACTAATCAATAGTTTCCCACTTTCTGCCTTCATCCCTTTTTGAATAAGGGTATTAGATTAGCATTTTTGCAATCCACTGCAACTTTTCCTGCATCCAGGGAATTTTGGAATATTACAACCAATGGATCCACTTTCTCTGACCCTAGAATGTAGATCATCAGTCCTTGGGGAACTGATTTAACCTCTGCATTACCTGTTATGATTGAGATGGTACAAATGTCCTCCATCATGAAACCTGAGGCAAAATACTGATTTGGTATCTCTACCATTCATGTTTCCAACTATTAACTCCACAGCCTTGTTCTCTAAGGGACCAACATTCTTTTTTTTTTATACTTATAGAAGATTATTTCTTTATTCATTGATGGGATGAGGGTGTCACTGGCTAGGCATCATTTATTGCTCATCTGTAATTGCCCAGAAGGCAGTTAAGAATCAACTTCATTGCTGTAGGTCTGGAGTCACATGTAGGCCAGACCAGGTAAGGATGGCAATTTCCTTCCCTAAAGGACATTAGTGAACCAGGTGGGTTTTCCCCCAACAATCGACAATGAATTCATGGTCATCATTAGATTCTTAATTCCAGATATTTTATTGGATTCAAATTCCACCATCTGCCATGGCAGGATTTGAACCTGGGTCCCTAGAATGTTGTCTGGTCTCTGGATTTGCAGTCCAGTGATAATACCACTAGGCCATTGCCTCCCCTGCTTTCTTATTTTGTGCTAGTTTTCTTTCATAACTTACCTTTGCTCTTTTGATAATGTTTTTGGTAAACTTTTGTTGATCTTTAAAAGTTTTCCAATCTTCCGACCTGCCACCTGACTTTGCCTAAGGTTGTTAGTTTTTATCCTTGATATCTTTAACTTCCTTGCTTAGCCATGGATGTTTTATCTCCTTCTTACAAACTATTTTTCTCACTGGAATATAATTTAGTTGGGAGAAATTGAATATCTCCTGGAACATCTGCCACTACTCATCAACTGTCCTACATTTTTAATCTTCCTGCCCAGTCCACCAGGGCCAAGTCTGTCCTCATACTCAGGTAATTATCTTTTGCTTAACGCCAGAATGCTTGTGTGAGACTCTAGTTTCTTGGCCTCAATCTAAATTTGAATTCTTGAATGTTATGATTCATCTTCCTTTGGATCCTTTAATGGATCATTCATTAATCCCAACTCATCCCACAATACCAATAGCCTGCTGCCTAGTTGGTTCCACAACACATTGCTCCAAGAAACTATCTCTATCTGATACATTCAATGAATCCTCCCTCAAGGCCCTGTGACCAACTGGATTAATCCAATCTATGTGCATATTAAAATCACCCAAATGATAATTGTCATACCTTTCTCACAAGCCCTCAGTATTTCCTGATTTATACTGTGCCCCACTGTGGAACTACTCTTTGAGGACTTGTAGATTAATCCCGCCAGGGACTTCTTTCCCTTGCTATTTTTTATTTCTACCCAGACCAGTTCTACATCTTGATTGCCCTATATGATTTCTCCCTACAGCACTGAACTTATCCTTTTAGGAACAAAGCTACACCACATCCTCTTCCTTCCTGCCTATCCTTCTGAAACACTGAGTACCTTTGGAAATTCAATTCCTAAACCTGGTCTCCCCACAACCACATTTCTGTAATTGCCTCAAATAGTACCTATTCTTCTCCATTTATGCTGTTAACTTAACTGATTTTATTCTGAATGTTTTGTGCATTCAGATACAAAGCCTTTAAGTTTGTTCTGTTATCAAATTTCTCTAGTCCTGCACCATTTCTTTGTGCGCTACGACTTTCACATGCTCTGTCCCTTTTTTTATTTTCTAGTGACAATCAGCTTTATCACAACCTGTACTGCTACCTTCTTCTCTAACTTTGATATCTAATTCTCCATGCAACACCCCTGCCCCATCCCTAAGACCAACTATCAATGATCATAGAAACCTATTTGATTTGCTAATGTCCTTCAGGTAAAGATGGCAGATTCTCTTCCTCAGTCTGGCCTACATGTCACTCCAGACCCACAGTAATGTTGCTGCCTCTTGGGGAGCACCCACATTTCATGAAAGAAATTTTGAAAATTTAGTTCTGGGCAAGTTTATAAATCCAGACTTAACAAGAGTATTTTTGTTTTGACAAGGTAATATTTCCAGCATTCTTTGTTTGTAGTTCCAGAGAAAGAAATGGAGAAGTCTTGAAATGCAGTGTTAATCTTCAGTAGTAGTAAGCAATGTCTTTGGTAGAACTATGCAAAGATAGACCAATGTGTGAAACAGGAAAGAGTGGAAATGAATTGCTTGCTGCAATGGAATGCCAGATTTGATGTGCAATGCTGCTGAAACAATTTGTTAAATGTATTTATTTCTAAAGTGATGAAGATATAATTTCTTGAGCATTGGGAGGTTTGATTGAGTTTCTGATATCATGCTTGTACAGGGGACCAACTAAATGATGACTAGTCACTTCCTCATGCTAAGAAAGAATTCAAAATGCAAACCATGTCTTTAGATATCCCTTGTGATATGCCTTGCTTAGCAACCTTTGCAGAGTTCCATCCTTGAGAAAGCAGGTCAATTCTGCATCTTTTCGTAAATATGACAAGAAAGGATGATAATTGACAGGAGGTGATGGCCTAGTGGCATTTTTGCTGGATTGTTAACCCAGTGACCTAGGTAATGTCCTGGGGACCCAGTTCAAATCCTGCCACAGCAGCTGGTGGAATTTGAATTCAGTAAATATCTGGAATGAAGAGTCTGATGATGACTATGAAATGATTGATGGAAAAATCTATCTGTTTCACTAATGTCCTTTAGGGAAGGAAACTGCCATCCTTACCTGGTCTGGCCTACATGTGACTCCAGGCCCACAGCAATGCACTTGACTCTTAAGTTTCCTCTGGGCAATAAATGCTTCCTGTGAATGAATAAAGGGGAACAAAAATAGAACGTTATACAAGTGAAATACCGCAGATGCTGCAAATTTGAAATAAAAACTGTAAGTGCTGAAAATGCATAGCATCTGTGTATCCAACATGGACAGAACCAATGACTCATTTGAAATGATCGTATTTGAAATGATCGTAATACTAATACCATTGAAAAGAAGACTGAAACAAAGACTTAAAACCTCAAATATGGTATCAATGTCCAAAAACTATTTTCCGCTTTGGGTCTCATAATCATTTATAAGCAAACACATAGGCAATGAGAAAACGGAAATGAAAAAAACAGGTTAATTCAAGGTTTCTCTCACCTCTGTGATTGTATGAACATTGCTTGCTGAGATCTAAGGTATATTAGAATGCTAAGAGCTAAGTCAAGCATTCATAATGTGGCCATCTTTTCAGACTGCATTTGGCAACACCATTGCTAAATGGTATCAATATCAATGCCTAGTGAACAACGATATTTCAGTACCCTGACATAGTAAACAGATTAGACTGAGAACTAGGAGAAATGTTAGGAAGCGCTTCTGCACACAAAGTGTAGTTTGCAACTCTCTTCAACAAACAGCTTTTGATACAAAATCAGTTGTTAATTTTAAATCTGAGATGGAAACATTTTTGTAAGCAAAGATATTATGGCATATGGGCCAAAGGACTTGGAGGTAGACCACAGATCAGCCATGATCTCATTAAATGCAGAACAGCTCGAAGGGCTGAATGGCCACCTCCTGTTCCTCTGTTCTGAGCTTTATTTAAATTTGTTTCTCTGTTTGCCTTCTCTCTTTCATGTAATTATGTTTCTGTCTCTCCCTTTCATTGTTTGGTTGGTTTTGTCCAATTTTAATCCCTTTCCCTACCTTTTTGTTTTGTTTTGAACTTCTTTTCATTAAAGATGACAAATTTATAAATTTAACGTTTGGTTTCACCTAACCACTGCTGTTTTGATTGATCCTGTCCTCACTGTCCTATCCTTGGTTCCTCACCCAGGCTGCACAAAATAAACAATCTTTGTGGTTTAACTTTGAAGATTTATATTTTGAATTAGAAATAGAATGGTAAAATAAAACATTTTCATAGCCAGGAGGTGCTATGTGAACTGAGCCCTGTACCTGTCATATCGTGTTTGACACATCGGTCTTCCATTCCATATTTCCTAATAGTGCTCTTGCTTCTTTTATTTGCAGATGATTCAAGCACAGGAAGGAATGGACAAAAGCTGCCTCAAGGATCAAATGGGGAATATGCAAATGAAGATCCCACAGGAAAACAATGGGGTATGATACCTTGAATTCTCAAAATTCCAAAGTGCGAACATAATCAAGTGTTTCTTTGTTCTTTCGAACATGACATTTCAGTTAAACTGAATTGTTTGTCATATTGTGAGCTCTGATTAGGTAGTTTTGTCAGATTTGATTATTGTGCAGATGGTAGTGTCATGTGAGTATGATGTGCTTTGGAGCACAGCTAAGCGAGTAGAGCTTTTTTATTATTCTTTCATGGAACGAGGGCATCGCTGGCGAGGTGGCACTTATTGCCCGTCCCTAATTGCCCAGAGGGCAGTTGAGAGTCAACCACATTGCTGTGGGCCTGGAGTCACATGTAGGCCAGACCAGGTAAGGATGTCAGTTTCCTTCTCTAAAGGTGAACCATTAGCGAACCAGGTGGGTTTTTCCGACAATTGACAATGGATTCACGGTCATCATTAAATTCTTAATTCCAGATATTTTGTTGAACTCAAATTCCACCATCAGCTGTGGCAGGATTCAAGCCCAGGTCCCCCAGAATATTATCTGGGTCTCTGGACGTGATTGTGCCACTAAGCATAAGCAGGAGGTATAGCTGCCTGCTTCTAGTATGAGACAAAGGCAGTTCTTTCTGGTTAAATGTGTTGCATAATATGGCACTGAATCATACAACTAGTTCAAACCCTGGCCCATACTTAATTGACTGGCTGTGGTTGCCATCAGAGTCTAATCCCTCTATTTCTATTTAATGCATTGGGATTAGATAATAATGACAAGTCTATATTTATTGCCAATGCATAGATATTCAGAGGAAGCTTTGGTTTGAACTTTATATTCCTTTGGCAGCAGTTTGAGAAGTGGGTGTTTCATTTCATCAGTGCAGAGTGTGTATGGATGCATGTTAGTTACATTACAGTCAGTAAAGAAGAGAAATCAAAAATAATTAAAAGAAGTGACAGAATGCAGTAAAGAAATTTATTTAGCCTCTAATATAAGAGAAAAAGGATTTTAATACAGCAGTACCAAAATCCTCTATTGTATTTGCCTAATTATCAAACTCATGCCAGTTGAGCAGGCTAGCAATGCTGTAATCAGAAACATACCTCATCTCATTATTAAAGATGTTATAAAATTCAGATTTTTTCCACCAACCAATTCTTATCTAGAAGCTTCTCAGCAAAGATTTACAGAACTTTTTATAGTTTCTGATATTTTTCTTTTAAATTCATGCTGACTGCCCCTTTTGCGCTGTGCGCTCTTTTTAGATGAAAATTGACAGAATTTGTAAATGCTCTTGAACGTTTGCTCCACTATGCACAGTCCTGCCTCGTTTATGCTTCAAGATTCATGTCTCACTCTATTTTGAAATATCAGGATAACTTCGCTGGCCTTTCAGTTGTCAGGTACAGCTCCTGTATTTTTTCAACTCCTTTCTAATATGTTAACCAGAAGTATTCCGCATTTCCCCTTTTCATTTCCTTGTGGGTCCTTGGCTTTATTTTGCTTGGCCAGTGTGGCTACTGAACCCATCCCATGGGTTTCCTCATGATATACAGTTTACTCACCTCTGCATGTGCTATGGTTTTCTGAGTAAAAACGTCTGGGTCGAGAATTAGTCACCAGCTTTTGGAAAGAATTCATTGAAACATGGCTGACATTTCCTGATCTTCCACAATATTTCTTTCCAACTTGAACTTTATCTTATTTACCTGGCTTCTAGCACACTGTCTGCTGCACGTAACATTTGATTTATTTCTAGGAAAAAAAATTGCTCTTTCCTGAATTATCCTGGGCCCTGCAAAATGTCAAACAGAATAAAAATGTTATACCTGTATTTGACTTGCACTCTCTCTGATCATGGCTCTACACTGATTGTGAAATTAACCCACACGTTCCAACTTTTCATTGTCAGTTTTACTTCTGATATTCATTGAGTTAAAATTGCCTCCAATAAAACTCCAATGTTGGAACTGAAAGGTCCAGATATTAGTCTGAAGAATGAGTCAGAGGGAGTGGAGACAGCAGCAGCTTGATACCTGGGAGATTTTAACTTGTGTCCTGAGTGCATGAACCCAATTGAGCTCAGAAACCAACAGGCTATCATCAGAAACCAAATAGGCAGTGCTTGATATGGAGAAGTGGTTGCATGGATGAGAATTTGGCAGGGATTGCACAGGCTGGTGTGGGAAGCCTGGGTCCCATCAGCAATTTGACGTGTCCTTCTCCACCCCTACCCACACATGGTTTCTTTTGGGCAGGCAATGTTTAAAATCATCCCAAATACATTGGAGGCACACAACAAGTACATAGATAGAGAACGGAAGAAGAATCATTTTGGGTCTGGTCCCTTGGAAGAGCCGAAACATAAAAGGCACAATGAAAAGCTAAGTATATGTAGAAACATAGAAGATAGGAGCAGGAGTAGGCCCTTCCAGCCTGTTCTGTCATTCATGATGATCATGGCTGACCATCCAACTCTCTTCACTGTTCCCGCTTTCTCCCCATATCCTTAGCATTTGATATAAAGAAAAATGAATTGTGCCTCTAGATTATAAAATTGCAAAGGAAGAGCAAACTGATTCTGGTGCCTTATCAGTTTAATAGTGACCTGCAGGATTTTGTCACTGGGGATTAAGTGTTTGGTCAACAATGATATGACAAATTATGTCAGCATAGATTTTTTTGAATGTTGGTTGCACTGAGCTTACTCAGTTTAACTTTTGAGGCTCACTAACATGGTGCGTAGGGGGTTGTTTAGATGGACAGTTAGGAGGCTATTGGAAAGTTCTGCAAAAAGAGATAATTAGCAAAAACGAAGCTGCACAGAGCTGGAGATATCCTTGTGACATGGGTTGGCAAATGATTGGGAAGTATGAGCTACCATGAGGATAAAGGCAGCAAATCCTGATTTGGAAAGATATGGGAACTGGTGTTTGTCAAAGACCCTTTCATCTTGCCGGTTATTTTTATTAAGGAATAAACAATTGTTTCTCCCAGTTTGCGGATGAAATTAAATTAAGAGGCACTGAAAGTTGTGTAGCTGGGAGCAGAAAGTGATAAAGGGATAAACTGGCTGAGTAATGGAGTAACAGTTTGGCAAATGGACCTCATTGTATGAGATTATCCTCCACATATAAAAAAACTGAAACTGTTTTCTTGTGGTGAGAAATGAGTAACAGTATCGAAGGATGTATTTAGATGTCATCAATGAGTGAGAATCACTAGAAACTGGTGCGTAGTCACAATGTAATCAGAAAGAAATGTTGGCCTTTATTTTGAGTAGGTTGGAGTGTGGGAGCAATGTTCCAGTTGTACAATTTTGGCACCAAACCTCAGGAAGGAAGTATTGATCTTAGAGGCAGAATCTGACAGATTCACCACAATGTTACTAGAACGTAAAGCGTCTTGAGAACTGCTAGCGTAAATATTCATTGTGTTGCCTTAACATTCAAACATTGAGTAATGAGCTAATTACTAGCATAATTACACTTTACAAGTACATCATCAGCTCTGAAGTACTTTGGGATGCCCTGTGTGCTGTTCAGCTGCTAGTTCTTACTTTATTCTACGTGAATGGCAGGACCCACTTGAAGTGCTGACTGATCTATTTCTGCTGCTCTGAGGGGATGCACCGATAGTTTAAAGTTGTAGATCATCTCAAAGTAATAAACAGAAGCATCGAAGAAATAAAAGACATTAAGGAAACACCTAATCAAGGAATTGCAAGAAATAGATGCAAAAAGTAGAACCTTAGGGAGAGAGCCAGATACAGAGGATTGCAGTGAGCCTCGAAGAAGTCCAAAATGGAATGAAGGTGATGGATAGGAGGACGTTGGAGGAAAGGTTAATGAATTCTGCTCCACTTCATCCCACAGATAAATGTTATAGTTACCTTGGTGACCCTCTATGTGCAGACTAGTTACAGACCAGCTTAGATCAGGCAACAAAGGCATGGAGTCTTCCAGGCTTCTGTCCCCAGTTAAAATGCAGTTGGGTGTTGACTGATTGTCAGGGGCATGCAGGAGTTTAGAATTGAGGTTGAAATTTGTTCAACCACAATTTTATTGAATGGTAGAGAAAAGTTGAAGGGCTGAGTGGCCTACTCTTTGTTCCTTGTAGGTTTGTTTCAATGTGCCATGATCAAATTAGGAATACACTTCATCCATCTACCAGCTATGGAATTTTGAATTGGATAGTGTTGGGTTTTAATTGACCATATTCCCTGTTTATGACAGGCAGATAAGTTTCAGGTTAATGACCCCTTTGTCGTTTTGCAAAGAGTGTCAAAAGGAGTTCAGTACCTCGGGAGAGGGTCAGAAATGAAGCACTTGACACAGTTTGGTGATCATTTTGAAAAAGGGAGAGATTTGAAGTGGCTGATCACTGGAAATGAGGGAGAATGAGGAAATGTTTTTTATTCACCCAGCAGCTGGTTGGGACCTGGAGCTCACTGTCTGATGGTAGAGATAGAAACTGTCTCCATTTTTAAAAAGTCCGTAAACATTGACTTGAAGAGCTGTGATCTGCAGGGATACAGACCTAGAGTGAGCAAATGGGACAATACTGGGTCGCTCCTCATCAACTGGCACAGATCTGATGGGCCAAATGGCCTTCTGTGTTGTAAAACTTTCACTGATTTCCAAGTGCTGACAGATACCATTAGCTGCATAGATTTTCCTGCCTGTTATGCTTCCAAGGGACCAATTTCATTTATGAAGTGAAGGATTTTTCTGGTTGAGCAAGTTCATCAATATATATTTACAAAGTCAATAAACAGCAATCAGATGTTGCTCTCCTCATGATTGATTGTCATTATAATTGGAAGCAGTATTTGGAAAGTGCTGTTAAAAGCTAAATTAGGAAGTAAAGGTACAGTTAATTAAGAACATGGGAGTATCTACATCTGTTTTGTTGGAACTGTTCTCTAAATCCAGCCTTTGTATTTCCATTCAAGACTATTCTTCAAAACCACCTCTGCTCGAGCTTTTAGTCACTCCTTATAATCTGTCTTCCCTTGGATTGCAATAATTTTCCTTTTGCCTGTGTGACACATTTTGGGGATACATGTTGCAGACACTATGCCAGTGTAGTTACTGGTAACTGTCACATCAAGATACACGCATGCATGCACACACGCACATACACACCCGCTTAAGAAAAGGGTCTACAGACAATGGTGGGGCTTATTCCTTTTTGAGTTGGATTCAGGGAACTTTGCCCACATGTTAAAAGGTTTCTGGCAGAGTGAGTGATTTTTCCAATCTGTAGTTGTGTCGGCAAGGATCCCAATGGCAATACAAACGCAGAAAATTAATTGCCAAATACATTTTTGCTTTCTATTTTTTCCACCTTTTTAGGATTTAAAGGTAACTCTTGAGATAACTGAGTAAATCCTAACACAATAAGTTATGATTAAGTTAGCAATTTGTTTCTCATATGTTGTTTGTCATAAAGTTGTACAGCATGGAAACAGACCCTTCAGTCCAATTCGTCCATGCTGACCAGATATCCTAAATTAATTAGTCCCATTTGCCAGTGATTGGCCCAGATCCCTCTAAACCCTTCCTATTCATATACCCATCTAGACGCCTTTTAAAATTGTAATCGTGCTGGCCTCCATCACTTCCTCTGGAAGCTCATTCCATACACGCATCACCCTCTGGCGAAAAAGTTGTCCCTTTAGGTCCATTTTAGATCTTTCCCCTCTCATCTTAAACCTATGTCTTCTAGTTTTGGACTCCCCTATCCTGGGAAAAAGACCTTGGGTATTCACCCAATCCATGCCCCTCATGATTTTATAAATATCTATAAGGTTACCCCTCAGCCTCCAATGCTCCAGGGAAAATAATCCCAACCTATTCAGCATCTCTCCATAGTTCAAACCCTCCAACCCTGGTAACATCCCTGTAAATCTTTTCTGTACCCTTTCAAGTTTAGCAACAACTTTCCTTTAGCTGGGAGATCAGAATGAACGCAATATTTCAAACGTGGCCTAACCATTGTCCTGTACAGCCACAACATGACTCCCAACTCCTATACTCAATGCACTAACCAATAAAGGCAAGTGTACCAAACATCATCTTCACTACCCTGTCTACCTGTGACTCCACCTCCAATGAACTATTAACCTGCACTCCAAGGTCTCTTTGTTTGGCAACACTTCCGATGGACCTACCATTAACATATTAGTCCTGTCCTGGTTTGTCTTACCAAAATGCAACACCTCACAATTACCTAAATTAACCTCCAGCTGTCACTCCTCAGCCCATCTGATCAAGGTCATTTTGTACTCTGAGATAACCTTCTTCACTGTCCACTACACCACTAATTTTGTCATTTGCAAACTTACCAACCATACCTCCTATATTCACATCCGCATGATTTATATAAATGACAAAAAGCAGTGGACCCAGCACTGACCCTTGCAGCACACTGCTGGTCACAGGCCTGCAGTCTGACAAACAATCCTCACCACCGTCCTCTGTCTCCTACCTTCAAACCAATTTTGTATCCAAATGGCTCGCTCCTCCTGGATTCTATATGATCTAAAACAAAGTTGCTGGAAAAGCTCAGCAGGTCTGGCAGCATCTGTGAAGGAAAAAACAGAGTTAACATTTCGGGTCTGGAGTCACATGTAGGCCAGACCAGGAAAGAAGGCAGTTTTCCCTAAAGAGCATCAATGAACCAGATGGATGTTCAAACAATTGACAATGGATCCATGGTCATCATTAGACTCTTAATTTCAGATTTTTATTAAATTCAAATTTCACCATGGTAGGATTCGAACCCATGTCCTCAGAACATTACCTGGAGTCTCTGGGTTAAGAGTCGAATAGTGATACCACTAGGCCATTGTCTCCTGTGGAATAGGATGATATGGTGATAGGTGATGTGAAGTCAGGTGAAAGGGCATCTTTGAAGGATAAAAGCCACATGGATCTGTCAGGAGTAATGACCTATATCTGACCTGCAAAGCCAATAAAGAATTTTTATCTGAATACATTAAGTGTCTCATGGGACAGGTTTCTGAACCAGAACAGCCAAATAATGCTACAAAATCGTCCTTGCACTTGGATTACCTAGGTGAATTAAGACATATAAATTCTCTTCCTATTTAAGTTATTTCTAATCAAGCGGATACACATTTATGCAACAGAGATGTAAAAGTTTTTCTTTGGTGATTTGTAGTGAGACCCAGGTTTACACAACCCACCAAAATGCGTCGCAGAGTGATTGCCCGTCCTGTGGGCAGCTCGGTCCGGTTGAAGTGTGCTGCAAGTGGATACCCCCAGCCCGATATCACCTGGCTGAAGGACAACAAGCCTCTCATCCTTCAGGACATGGGCGATGCCAAGAAGAAGAAGTGGACTTTGACCCTGAAGAGCTTGCGGCCTGGAGACAGTGGGAAGTACACGTGCCGTGTCTTCAGCAGAGCGGGCGAAATCAATGCAACGTACAAGGTCGAAGTAATCCGTAAGTACTGCACTGGATTTAAAAAGGGATAAAAAATAATGGCCCATTTGAAGACAGTTGCAAGCGGTCTTTATGCTCACAATGAGAACCACATGGCCAAGTCTCTGCTGCGCTCCAAGAGATTCCAACCTGGAGCACGTTGCACATCTGGTAGTGATAAGGTTGTGCAGATGCTAAATGTGTTTTCATTCTAAACACAGGAGCAGAGATACAAAACTCAAATCAGGCCTCATCCCACTGTCAGATGTGGTGGCTTTATTTCTGCACTCTAACACAGAAAAAAGCAAAAACTCAAGTCAACTTTTTATTTAATGTGGCATTTTGCATCAAAAAGCAATTTACTCTTCCCATGTTTTACTTTTGCTTGGGATTCAAAGCTTAGTTTTTTTTTGCCTTTTCTTAAAAATAACAGAACTGTTAAAGAAGTAGTTTACTGATGGTTTTAATTGAAAAACAGTTGATTTTAGGATCTGATAAGAGATTTGCTGGATTCATTGGTTTCTCCCCTGGCCCCTCATAGCCACCTTTCCCTCGGTGTTTTCCCTCCTGTCAAGGCTAGCTAGCTCCAATCCATTCAATACCAGATTCAGAAAATACAGGGCTCAAGTTTAGAGAAAAATTTTTTTTAGATTTCCAGAGTGACGTCCTAGGAACGTCGGGAGGAATTTGAAGATATCAGGGATTGCTTGCAGTGCTGGACCCACTTTCTCAGTTTTGTGATAGGACACTCGCAACTCTTTGGCTCTCTCTTGCACTCTGTCTCTCACATATTTAAGACACTGAGCTGTGTAATAGTGCAATTCCACCTGTTGTAGGAGCCCTCTCTTAATTCACTGAACCAGCCAACGTTAATGCAAGTACAAGAAGAGGCTTCGGATCATTGTGCCATTTCAACTAAATCTAAGATAACCAGGTGTAGAGCTGGATGAACACAGCAGGCCAAGCAGCATCATAGGAGCAGGAAGGCTTCCTGCTCCTATG